TCAGCAGAGTTGTTGAGAACAAGGTGCTCAACAAACTGTTGAGACAGCAGCAGGCTGCTGCTGGCGGGTCGATGCACTCGCGTCGGCCCGAGACTTTGAAGATTGACATCTCAAAGTATAGGGGGTCGAAGAAGACTCCCTCTTGAGATGGTTCGTCGAATTGGATGACGCCATAAGGGCGCGTCGCATCGACGACGGGGATATGCAAGTTGCATTTGCCCAGTCAAATCTGGCAGGACGTGCCAAGACTTGGGCACTGGGGCTCAAGCTGCACGACCCATACGCGTTTGGGTCGTTGGAAGTCTTCAAGTCGCGGCTCAGACAAACGTTTGAACCGCCTAGAGCTGAGTTCAGAGCTCGAACCGAACTCTTGAAGCTCAAGCAGGGTAAGCGTGATGTGCACGCTTACGCTCAACATATACGACATCTCACGAGTTGTATAAGTTCCAATCCGGTGGATGGACACACGTTGGTTTCGGTGTTCATGCAGGGTCTTGCGGATGGTCCCGTCAAGACTCACCTGTTCCGGCTTGAACTAGATTCACTAGAACAAGCCATTTCCATTGCGGAGCAGGAAGACTTCAGTCTGAGACAGGCTCGCGCCAGCTCGACATCATATCGTCAACCGAGACGATATGACAACGGAGGTCCAGAACCGATGGAACTCTGTTATGTAGAGAGCGAGAAGGCTCGCTCTACAGGCTACAAGAAGTTGCAGAGATGCAACAGATGTCAAAAGACAGGACACTATGCTTACGAGTGTAGTGCCCCTCGTCCAGTGTCTCGCGACACTGGGCTTAACAACCGTCCACCCATGAGAAAGGGGAAGGGACGAGGGTCCGCTGTTGGTGCAAAGACGCAACAACGGGATGGACCGTCAAAAAACGGACAGGATCAGTAGGTGCGGAGCACCCTACTGATCCAGCAACGTCAAGAGAATTTGTAGGCCTCTTGATGAAGGTTGCTCCAGACACGCAGATACTGTGCGTTGCTGCTCTAGGTAATGAGATCTCACTCATTACCTTGAAACTCGAAGTGACGAATAAGTTGTCCCTTCGAGCTCTAGTCGATTGTGGGGCGTCCAACAATTTTGTGCGACGCCAATCGCTAGAAGATGGTCACTTTAAATTCAGTGAATGTGACACACCTCCTACGAGGATGACGGTACGTCTTGCGACAGGCGCATCCGTAACCGTCATGAAGCGTATAGTGAAGATTCACTATACGCTAGAAGATACCCAATACGACGATGACTTTATCGTATTGGATTTGGATGACAAATTTGATGTCATCCTTGGAATACCGTGGCTCAGAAGGTACGAACCACGGGTAAACTGGCAACATCGGACAGTAACGATGCCTGCCGCTTGTTCATCAGATGGCCATCTGATGAACGTTTTGGAGCGTCCACAAGCGTGTGGATGTACTACGAGTGAGTGCGATGGCCTCACTTGTGGTACGGTCGTTAGTACGACTGCACAAAACCTTAGTGTAACAAACGGTTACACTTCGGAGCAAAGTTCCGGCGGCTATGAGGAAACACAGGCTGCGCCGAAGGTCCGCCACTCGAATAAGTCGGGTGGACTGGGACAAAGATGTATCCCTAGAGGGGAACATCTAGAAGAGAAACAATCGATCGCTCAGGTTAAGCGAAACGATAATCCTAGATCGACTGGAGAGTCTTTCGTAGAGGATCTCGCTGTGGTTGCGCAACCCCAGCTAGAGGAAGTAAAGGGAATAAGTCCCAAGATTACAAATACGGCGGAAATAAGTTCCCCGAAACCCGCGGGAATAAGTCCCCGGGAAGACGAAGGAATAAGTCCTTCGAAGCCTGAGGGAATAAGTCCCCAGGAAATGACAGAGACATTGAATGTCATAGTCAATAACGGATCATGTGTAGGCGCTTATACACTTGATCTGATTGCGCCTCCGAAGTTAACTTCGGAGATCACTCAGTTGCCAACGCTCGAACATAAAAGATTCTTGCGTGATCTGCGTAGTGGCAAAGTCAAGCAGATCTGCATACTCGTCGCTGAAGACGAGTATGTAACCGACATAAGGTCAGCAACAGTGTTTACTGAGAACGAGAGAGTTCTCAGTAGTTCATCTATGGACGAGAGTGTCCTGGATGAAAAGACACGAATTGAGCGATATGAGTCCCAATCATGGGAATCGCTCAAGGAAAATCCTCTCTATGAAGATTTGGTTGAATTCAAGGATGTATTCCCTGAAACTGTTCCGTGCGAATTACCGAAGGATAAAGGTATTCGACACGAAGTCGAGCTTAAACCAGGCTCGAAGTACTGTGCCATGAAGCAGTGGCCACTGCCTCGTGAACAAGTACTTGCGATCGACAAGTTCTTTGCCGATCGTTTAGCAGCGGGCCATGTGAGGGAATCAACTTCCCCACATAGCTCTCCGACCTTCTGTGTGCGAAAAGCAACAGGAGGGTGGCGGATAGTGCACGCGTTTAACAAATTGAACGCTGCAACGGTACCGGCTCAGACGCCGATACCGAGGAAGGACGTAATCATTGATGGTATGTCAAAGAGTACCATCTTTTCGTCCATGGATTTGATGGATGGCTTCTATCAAATCCTAATGCGGGAACGGGATATACCCTATACCGCAGTTAGCACGCCTAGCGGCATGCTCTGGGAATGGCTAGTAATGCCACAAGGGCTCAGTAATGCCCCTGCCACGTTCAACAGGTGTGTATCACATCTGTTGAGGCCAGTACGAGAATTCGCGCCGAGTTATTTCGATGACGTATTCATCCATAGTCGAGCTATGGATGGAAAGTCGGACGTTGAGGTTCACAAGTACCACGTCCGACAAGTTCTTACAATCATGCGAAAGCATCAATTGTATGCAAACCTCAAAGAAGTGTATATTTGCAGCAAGCGAAATACCACTTCTTGGGTGCATCGTTGGTAAGAACGGTGTACGTCCTGATCCCGAAAAGATCAAGGCGATCACCGACTGGCCCGTGCCGGTCGATGTCAAAGGTCTTCGAAAATTCCTTGGGCTAGCGGCGTATTTGCATAAGTATTCACGCAATTACGCCGAGATGACTGTACACCTCTCTCGTTTGTTGAAAAAGAACGAGAGGTGGTTATGGAACGCTGAATGTCAACGCTCCTTTGAGGGTATCAAGCAGAGCTTGATACAATCCCCAGTCCTAGCAATAGCCGATCAGGACAGGCCATTTCATGTGGTCTGTGATGCCAGCGATTTCGCAATCGGCTGTGCATTAATGCAGTACGACCTTGAAGGCGTTGAACGCGTCGTCTGCTATCAGTCGCGTCAGCTGCAACCAGCTGAGCGGAACTATCCAGTGCATGACAAGGAACTCCTTGCCATGAAGTATGCACTCGCGAAGTTCAGAGTCTATCTATTAGGAGATAGACCCTTCGTTGTTTACACTGACCATGCGTCCTTACGCACGGCAGTGAACAGCCCGCACCTTTCACAACGAATGGCGCGGTGGTTGTCATTCTTTGCAGAATACAACTTTACGTTCGAGTACAAACCAGGACGACTTAATGTCGTCGCTGATGCACTCTCACGTCGTCCCGACTTTGAAACAGTCGCGAAACCCAACAGTGAGACAGTCACTGTTGCGGTTATGACGTCCTCAGTTCCATCTACAACGTTGTATGATGATGTGAGGCGGGCATACGCCCAAGATGGTGAGATAGTGAAGTTGTTGACACATCTCTCCCAACCATCTCGAGAATCGTTGAAACGATTGTCGTCTGCGTATCGATCTGCATCAGATCGATACACTACTCGTAACGGTTTACTGTACTATACAGCCGTTTCTGGTGACACACCACGTGTTGTCATTCCAGATGATACTGATCTGCGTTTGCGGATCATGTTCGAGTATCATGATGCTCCTATAGGAGGACATCGTGGCCGGGAGAAAACATATCTCACGGTAAGTCGAGACTTTTACTGGCCCCGCCAGTATCAGTTTGTGCGAAAGTATGTTCGCGCATGCGAAGTCTGCCAACGAGTGAAGTCAAGTCCTTCACTGCGTGCACCTTTACAGCCTCTACCGGTTCCGGCTGAGTACTGGGAATCCATCTCAATGGATTTCGTCTTCGGGTTACCCAAAGACGCACGCGGGAATACGGGTATTCTCGTATTTGTTGACAGATTCAGCAAAATGGTACACCTTGTGGCTGTACCAGAGACAATCACGGCAAGTGGCTGTGCTTGTGTCTTTATTGACACCATCTTCCGACTTCATGGGTTGCCCCGTGAACTCGTATCAGACAGAGATCCACGCTTCACTGCTGATTTCTGGCGTTCCGTGTTCAAATCACTCGGAACGCGCTTGAAGATGTCAACATCTGATCATCCAGAGTCAGATGGTCAGACGGAACGTGCCAATCGTGTCCTTGAAGAGATCCTTCGAGGATACGTACACTCCTTTAAGAGTTGGAGTGAGTTTTTGCCGATGGTAGAGTTTGCCATCAACAACTCGGTGCATGCGTCCACGACACATACACCGTTTTACGTGAATGGCTTGCGCCATCCGCGTGTACCCACCTTACTAGAGTGTAACTCTGGTTTAAGGGGGAGGGACTCGCGCGAGCAAAAACCGATTTGGTTCACGCTCATCACGCTCTGACGAAGAAGTCATTGCGTTTGATGCCGATATCGATAACATCGATATCGAAGAAGATGATGCCAGTGAGAGTGCGGAAGCCCTCACTGAAGACAATGATCCCAGTGAGAGTGCGGAAGCCCTCACTGAAGAAAAGGTTGTTGTCGCTGCAGTGCGCTCACAGCACACTGAAGCTAACGAGGTCATCAGATGAGTTCATACTGGCTCGTGAAACGGTAGTCCGTTTTGTGCAAGACTCCATCGCCGAAGCGGTGGATAAGCAAAAGCAAAAACGCTGACAAGAATGGAAGGGCAAACACTCTTTTATTTAATAAAGGTGACTTAGTCCTACTGTCTACGGTTAATCTACCAAAGCATGTAGTGACTAACTTGGGTAGCAGTAAACTACTACCCAAGTACATTGGCCCATTTCGTGTATTGCACCGCCTAGGCAATGCATACACGATCGAGTTACCACGTAAGATGCGAACGCATCCCACGTTTTACGTTGGTCGGCTTAAGCCGTACCATCAGTACGCTGCTTCTTCCGATGAAGAACGCCCTTGCGCTCAAGCATCTCGCAGAGAGCCTTGTGCTCCCGATGGTGGGCATCAACAAGGGTCTGAAGAGCAGTTATCTCAGCCCGAGACCGATCAACAATCCCACGAGCTACCCTTAGCTCGTCACGAAGAGATGTCAGAGCTCTCTCGTTCTCAAGCTGAGCAAAGGCAAACTCAGCTCGATGCTTCGAGGCAGTGTCCACCATCTGGAGACGCCTATTCCGCTCATGCTCGAGATCGTCGCGTAACCCTTGCGTTACGCGATCAAAGAAGCTCTCGGGAACACACCGATCCACATGATCGTGTGGAGAGCGTCTTTCCTCATCCACCTCCATTAGAGGACTCTCGCGGTGGCCAGCGCTATCTAGTAGAGCAGCTGTTGAACCACCGCGACGTGAACGGACGTCGGACGAGTTACCTCGTCCGGTGGCGCGGCTATCCCCCGTCCTGGGATTCTTGGGAGCCCCGCTCCCAATTGATGGTTGACGTACTGGGTCTGGTCGAGCAGTACGACGCGACACATCCTGTGCCGCAGAAGGACCGCCGGAGAAAGTCTTCCCGGCACGGTCGTAAAGGGATTTCAGGTTGTCAATCCCTTCGTACATCTCAGTAGAGACACGTACGCGCCACCACGGGCTGGTAAGGAGGTAAGCCTCCTTAGGTGCTCGTGCAGAGTTGTTCACACAACATGGGCACGAGTCTCCCCAAGAGAGGCAGGGTAAT